GCCCCCATAACCTGTGCCCACTGTGGCCAGGCACCGTCCTAAGCCCAATGACCCTTCTGAGCTACACTCGGGGGTAAGGATTCCTCTTTGCCTCACTTGGCAGATAAGGAAACCTGAGGCCTAGAGAGAGAAAGTCATCTTCTCATGGTGGGGGCAGAAGGGGGTCGTACCCAGACCTTGCTGTCCTTTGACTCTCTGACCTTGTGCCAGCTCCACTGTAGAGCTCAGCTGGAATGTGGAGGCCGGGGCGCCTCTGTTGCAGTCCACAGGGGCATAGGCAGGCCGTGGGGTCCAGAGAGCAGAGGAAGGGGTCCCTCCTAAGGGCACCTGGCAAGAACTGCCCGGCTGCCGCCACTCTGCTGTCGTCATTGTTGGATCATCCAAGCCTGGGACAACGCCTGGCTCCTCGTAGGCAGACTCAGATGTTTTCCAAGTGAGCAAGCGAACAACCGACCTATTAACTACAAATTATAGCAACATCACTTGGGCCCTAAATAGCATATTTATTGAATAATGTAATTGCAAATATTATCCCTTTAAGCTCCTGGTAATGGAGGAAATGGTCCTCTCCCTAGAGCTTTAATAATATTATATATTTGTTGACTCAGGGAATTCTTTTTGACATTTATTCAGGATTTTAAGACGGCATGTGAAAGAAAGCAAAAACACTATAATCAGCATTATATAGGTAGAAATAGAAAAATAGAGTTTTCCATTCAAATTGATGTGTTAGGCACTTAGAGGCAGCCTTTTACTTCAGGTGAAAGGCTTAATGGAGACTACGCAGTTGGAGATGCTTGGAGGCCACATGTGTTGTCCCACAATCTGGAACAAGAGTGTGGTAATGATGCACAGGGCTCAGGGCTGACCACGGTACGGAGGCCAGCTGACAGTAATCAGCACTAATAGCTGATGTTTTCATATGCCAGACCTTCTTCTGAGATGTACCTTCTTTCTAGCAGGGTTACCTCTATTAGCTCCATTCACATGTTGGGAGAACTGAGGCACAGGGAGATAAGTTTTCCCAAGGTCACCCAGGTATAAGCAGAAAACCCCCACACGCAGACCCCGTGCAAGCCCAGAGTCTGACCCTGAACACTGTCTCTAAGCTACTGTGCTTGTTAGAGAATTGTAGAGCTAAGGCCTCAGTATCAGCCCTTTTATTTCAAAATGAGGGTCAAAGATGAACTGTAAGTTGCCCAAGGTCATCCAGCCCTATTAGTGAGAGAGTTCAAATAAGTCTCAGTGCCTGCTTCTAACTCTGAAACATCCTGTCGCCTGGGGCAGATTACGTACCTTTTTTCAGTTTACTTACTCATCTGTAAAGTGGAACTAGTAATTATGCCTTTAAATCTTTTTTTAAAACACTAACAGTCATGTCTGCCCTGAGTCCTCTTTGAGGTTAGGACCATGTATGATGTATGTGGACAACTCAGGAAAACTGCAAAGTCCAAGGCAACAACAATGGTAATCAATGATAACAGTCTCGAGAGCCCCGGCCCTGCACAGGAGAGTTCACCACATACCTGTAACCCACGCAATTCCAAATTCATGGTCCACGGTGCTCCCTACACCCCATCCCAGTTTAGAGCAGAGAAGTCCCAGAGAGAGGAGCCATTTGTTAGATTGCCAAAGCCAGGGAGAAATGCCCTTCCCAGGATTTGCACCTGCCTAGTCCTGGCCGGAGCTCCTAGCCATCAGCTAGGCTTCCAGCGAAGATGGCCGGTGATGCTCTGTTTTGCATCTTCTCAAGAAATAGCAACAGCCACGGAGCAAAGGGAAACTGTTTTTGTAAAAGCCAGATCTGGAAGGGACTGGCCAGTCTTGCAACCTTGCAATGGAGTTGGTGACAAATGCCATTAGTCCCTTCCGTCAGTATGAAAGACAGGATGCCTCAAGGCTCCAGGCGGAGGAGAAGGACCCGGGCACCTTCTGAAGTCACACAAGTGTTTGCATCAAAACAGAAGATGGGAGGTGTCTACAGTGGCTGGAGGGGGGCAAACCTGAAGTCTCTAGAAAGAGGAGCTGAACACTGGCTTATCTGTTGTCTGTGGTGTTATTTTGTTATAGCCACGGTGAGTGCTTTTAGACAACAGGTGACCAGAAAACCCAAGGGCCCATGTGCCTGATGGGTCTCCAGCCATCTCCTCTCCTTGCCTACCAGACATGGGCCTGAAGTTGAAGAGCAGGACCTGGACAGAGGCAGATGTGAGTTTGAATCCTGTCTCTGCCCTTCACCAGCTGGGTGAACATGACCACTCTGCCACCATTGAACCATCTATGAAGAAGGAGAATAATTGTACCTCCATCATCCAGTCTTTTTTTTTTTAAGAGAGAGTGTGAGAGAGAGAGTGAGAGAGAGAGAGAGAATTTTTTTAATATTTATTTTTTTTAGTTTTCGGCGGGCACAACATCTTTGTTTGTATGTGGTGCTGAGGATCGAACCCGGGCCGCACGCATGCCAGGCAAGCGCGCCACCGCTTGAGCCACATTCCCAGTCCTCATCCAGTCTTTTTGAAGGTTAAAAGAAATCCTTTACTTAGAGAGGGCTCCATGCAAAGAATTAGAAGCAGAAGTTTAGACAAGGTGGCCTTTAGGGAGTGCATTAAAGTTGGGTGAGGTGGGGACTCTTTTTCTTATAAGCGGGTGGTTTTCATTAACAGCCTCTCTGGTATTTGATTTCTTGACCATGGGCATGTGTTTGTTTACTACTACTACTACTACTACTAATAATAATAATAATAATAATAATAATAATAATAATAATAATATTTTGAAGGCATTTTAAGAGATCATGTTAATCCAGCACTATGCACTATGCTTAGCAAATAGTAAGAGCTTAATATGTGAAGGATGTTCATGTTCGTTTCCATGCACCCAGATAACTTGCTGTCATTATTCTCTGAATGCTTTGGGGAGGGACCCGGGGTCTCTGTTATAGCTGTGTGCAGCCTATAGCTCTGGAATTTCAAAGTGGGAAGTGGGCATAGGAAGACTTAAGGCTGATCTCCTCTCACTGAATGAGGAATGGGGCTTGCGGCCCTTCCTGGCCCACACCCTCTGGCCTCCCTGCCCCTGGCTTGCTGAAGAGGGTAGGTGCCGCCTTAATACCTGGACTTACCTCTGATCGGCTTTAGCTGCCTTAGATCTGCTTCCCTGGGCTGCTTCTGTCCCAGGCTGTCTTGCCAGGACAGAGAGGGAAGAAGAGTGTTCAGGGAATTCAGCGTGGGCTTGCCAAGATCAGGTGGAGCCAGATTAACTTCGTTTTTAAAAAATGAGTTTTGAGTTGCTAAGGGGACAAAAAAGCACAAATCGGGCACTTCTGGTTTCTATCAAGGTGTTTGAGAAGGTTGTCGTGGGCTTCTTGGGAACATGATGGAAGAATGCTGAATGACATCACTTGATAACATTGGGGATTAAATGGTCACACCCGCGGGTACCATACGGTGGATCCTGGAGAGGTCCCCTGCACTGAGCTCCTGGCAGTGAGCCTGGTGTCGCTGGGTTAAACTGCCACTGTGTTCACATTCTTATTTGTGGCCTAAATGAAGACCTCAAAGTCAGCTCTAGAGCATCCTATGTGCAGCCTTCGGACTTCACACTGCTGTTATGAGCTACAGTAACATATAAAGGCCCTTTGCTACTGAAACCCCAGTTTCCTCATTCATAAAATGCCTCACTGGCTTGTTTTGGGGACTAGATGTTGCAATGCATGCAGGACTTGACCCCCCTGTCTGAGACCTTGTCAAACATTCAATAAGCAGTGACAGTCAGTCATTGTGGTCAGAGATGACATGAGCCAGGAAGCCGTAGTGGACATGGTGCATAAGAGACAGCCTTCTCAAAGATCTCAGTGTGCAGGAGGGATGGACCCAACCTAACACTCAGAGAACAGCATCCAGCCAGGTGATCAGGACACTGGCCCCGGGGGTATCACAGATCCGTGAAGGGGAGTCTGTGCCGCAGCTGCAGGAAGAGCCTCTTTTAACAGCATCGATAGCAGAGCAGGGTCCAGAGTAAGCAGGCCAGTGACAGCCCCCTCTCTCCTGGGGTCACAAACCTCACTGGAATTGCATTTAGCCTGAAGTGTGAGGATTAAGGGAAGCGGCTACACAGTGCTCTGTCAGAGGAGAGTGGCCAGGATGGGAGTCAATCTGGAATCAGGATACCTAAAGTGTCACCTGGCAAAATTGGGAATGTTTGGTGGGGTTTTAGTGTGAGAAAAGACACAACCCTGCTGCTAGAGCAGGTTAGGAACCACTGAGACAGACCCGGGAGTAGGACAACTGGAGTTCACAGTATCCTCGTCATTTCTGGAGGAAGCCGACTAAAGAGCACGATTCAGTGCACTGGCTGAGCCACCAGCTAACCCTCCTGGCCTCTCTCCACTCTTGCAAGAGTGGGGACCCCAGGTCTGCAAAGCACACTCTTACACCAGGTCACTGCCATTCTCTGATGAGGCAGGGCGATGAGGGACAGAGAAGGACCCTGCATCTGTGATGTTTGCAGGAGACTGACTTCACCCCATCAAGAGATGTCCCAGCGATCATCACTGGGTGGGGCGAGGGCTGATACTGGCCACATCCCCTGGGAGAGCAGCAAGGGCGTGGCCGTCAGTCCAGGGTGTCTGGGTGAAGATGCTTCCTCATGGAAGGAAGACGCGTGAGGAGTGAGAATCCCCTTCTCCCAGTTAGGAAAGCTGCCAGGAAGTTATTGAACACCTGCCTGGTGGACCCCAATGCTCCCCCTTCACTCGTCCAGGGAATCATAAAATATTTATTCATCACCAATTCTGTTCCAGGTGCTGTTCCTAAGCTCCTAGGGAAACAAAATCTAGATTCCTTCTCTCATGAAACTTACATTTTTGGTCTAGGAAGAGAAAAACAATAAGCAATACTCACACTAAATAGGGAAATCATATACTCTGCTAAAAGTGACAGTCGTTATGGAGAAAAAAAGTAATAGTTGAGGGGAGGGAAGGAGGGACCCATGGGGCTGTTTGGGGAAAGAATATTCCAGGCAGAGAGACAAAGTCCCTGTGGTAAGAATGTGCCTGAGAGGTGCAAAGGAAACCAGTGGAGGCCACAGAATGGGCCGTGAGTTCTGGGGGACATTGAAGCTGGTGGGCACACGGGCTGTGGCCAGGACCTGGTCCACACCACAGTGATTCATTAATTGGTTCATGCCTCATCCCAATCCGTGACAGTTGTTGTTCTTATTATCTCTTTTTAATACATAAATAAGCTGAGATTCATAGCCAGAACTCTCATTTTTATTTCACAACTGAGAAAATTAAGACCCAGAAAAGCACTCGGCAAAGACTGGGTCCCTGATTCTTGGTCCAGAACCCTTTCTCTCCCATATCTGCTCTAGAAATGAAATGCCTTTGAAGGAAGTGAATCTGAGCCTCTCTGGAAGATTCAGGTATCAATCACAGGCTCTTAGCACTGCCCTCTCATTTCAGAACTCCTCTATTGGCCACACATTTTCCAGCCTAGTAAGGAGCATGGTGCATAAAATTCTAAAGGGGCTAAAGTGTTAAGCACGGCATTAATGAACTCTGGATGAGGGGAGGAAGCCATTGGCCTTTAGGATGACCAGCACTGCGGTAGTAGTAAGTTCCAGTACATACTGATTGCCTCCCTCAGGCCAGGCCCCTGTTGTAAGCTACCCTGTGTAATGCATTTTTTCTTTACCATCACCCTAAGAAGTAGGTACTATCATTGCCCTCATTTTATAGATGAGATAACTTGCCCAAGAATACACCGTAAATAAGTAGCTGAGCCTGATTCAAAGCCCAGTCAGGCTGGCTTCAGAGTCGGTCATCTCAACCCCTCTGCTCATGCAGATTGGCCAGAACCAAGGCAGGCTACACCAGCAGCCAGGTTTGGGTCACTCAGAGCAAGTGTCCATTTCCTGCAGGTGCTGGGCTTTTCCTTTCCCTATGCTATGCAGAGAATAAAAATAATCTTTGTGGCTTCTCGTCAGACACGGGGACTCTCAGGCTCAAATAGCAAGTTGATTTTCTAGAGTGGTTTGAGCAGAGGAAGAAGCCAGTTCCATGGATTGAAAACGGGATTTGGTATATGCTGATATGTTAATGGTGACAACGGCTAGAGCTTGTTCTTTCCAACAGGCTGTCGCATACAGTCGTCGTACCACTCCATCCCACACAGATTCTGGGAGGTAGGCACTCTTGTCTCTCTGCTTATATATGAAGAAGCAGAGATAAATTCGGAAGGCTGGTTTGCTTAGCCACGCTAAAGTACTGGTAAGTTAGGAGGGGAGAGAAGACTAGAACTCAAGTCCAGACCTAACTAGTACTCTCTGCTACATGACAGCTACACTCAGAAGGTAGCCCCAAAGAGCCCCAGAGGCATGAAACCTGGAAGCCCTTCATCCCATCCTTCTTCCCGAGAAACAAGCATAAGGATCCGCAGCAAATTCTCAGGGGTATATACTTAGACTTCCTGGGCTTGGCTCTCCACTAAAAAGATTGTTTTTATTCTCTGAGAACTGGCTGGCTTCATCTATTCCACTAAGTTGGATTGCTAAGGGATTGACATGCCTTGGCCACGTTTAAGAGTTTGTATTGATATTACTGTTGTGAAAAAGCACATATTGGTCCCCACCATCTATATGACTGTGACTAATTTTTTTTTCCCCTCTCTCTCCCATTTCATGCAACTTTTGCTCACAGCCTTCTTGGCATAATTGACACATTGGCTCAGGCCGCCAAGACTGCCAACTTGGAGCCTTGGATCAGTTAAATCAGTTATGACAGATGTGATTATTTACAAGAAAATAGAAGTCACTATAATTAGACCTTCTAAGGAATACATTTGGGAGGAGAATGAGAAAGCACAAGTTTAAGCTGGCACGATGTGTTTGATTTCAGCCATAAGCAGGTTCTTCAGTATTCTTGAAAGGAGGTGTTGGGGTGTCTGACACCCTCCATAGGCACTGCCATTTATCAGTTTTACGACACAGCTCATGATAGATGGAAGGCCAGGTGGTGGAGTGAGCATTCGACTGGGCACCCAAGACATTGTTTCAGTTCTCAGCTTAGCCACTTGTCCTTAGCATCCGTTTCTTTCTTTTCTCTCTGTTTTGTTTTCAATCGTAAAATGGGGATAAAAAAAAGACTCCCTACTTCATGGTAAGTCGGGGGAAGTTGAGAGTGCTGGAGTAAGACAAGTTTTCCAGCCTTATGCTGGACATAAGGCACTGAGGGTTAGATGTCCCCACCCTTTTTGAACATGCCACTCTATCCCCATGAACCTCTCCACTGGAGATGCAACAGGCCAAAGGAGCCTTCCTCGCCTGGGTTACTACTTCACCTCTCAGTCCCCTGTCCTTGGTTCCGCTGTGATCTGTGATAGTTACCATTCATCATATGCAAGAGGTACAACAGCACTGTGCCTGTGGCCCAACATTCTTGCAGGGGCCCAGAAAATTTTTAATTTTTATTTCTTTTAAAATCAGAAAGAAAAAGGAATATAGTAATAACGATGATAAAATGTAGTGTAAAAATGCTAAAGAGGAATAGACATAATTTTGGATCCGGCCTGATTTTATGTTCCTATTTGTATCCGTGCAGTCATAAAACCTAACTTCAAATTATTTATTTTGAATTAATTGAATTAAAATTGCATGTTATTTATGTATGTCTGGAGGAAGGGGCCCACGAAGGCAGAAGTACCTAAGACTCACAAAAGTCACCATGCCTGGTTGTAGGAGCTTTTTAAGTCTGAGCTCAGTCATTCTCAGGAATGCTTTTAAAATTCTCACTTTACAAATGAGAAAGCCAGAGCCTAGGGAGGCTAAGGAACTGGTCCAACACGGCATGGCAAGTCAGAGACTCTATCAGTCACATGGGGCCACAGCTGTAACAACCCATATATAAATGGCTCCGCACGCGAGGAGTTGATCTCGTTTGCACGATTCAGGGTGTGTGTTTAGCATGCAGTCTTCCACGGGGTGCGTCAGGGACCCAGGCCCCTTCCGTCTTGGCAATCTGTCTACCTCTAGTCCTGGGTTTTCTCTCCATTCAGCTGCCGGGTGAGGTAAGTGCAGGAACCACAAGTGGGAGATTTTTATGGGCCAGGCTTGGAATTACCCCACGACACTTCTGCTGTCTTTCCACTGGCCAGGATGTAGGCATAGGGCCACGCCTCATAGGAAGGAAGGCTGGGCAATGTCGTCCACTGCAAGTCTGCGGGGAAGAGGAGAGCCTGGATCCTGGGGAGTACCCGCAGTCCCCGACACACTGACAGGGTGGGGTTCCAGCCCAGGCTGTCTGCACACCAAGCCCCACTCTTTCCACTCTGCTTAGCAGATTCTTGTCTCTCTTGGCCTCCACCAATCCCCTTCGCTGGCCCTCTTCCTCTGCCATATTTGCCCACTAATCCCCCCTTCACAGTTCCAGGCCTTTGCCTGGGTGCTAATGGTGCCATGAGAGATGCATTTGGGGAGCTTGTCAGGCTGCTCTAGGAGGCTGCAGTCAGGTGTCCTGACCCTGGTGTCTCCAGCTCCAGGCCCAGTGCGCTGCTGGACACCTGGAGAAGGCAGGGTCCCACCCCTGGGGTGGGAAGGGACTGCAGAGAACATTTCAGAGAGCCGGGGAAGGAGGTTTGAACTGCAGTCGGACCTTGAGTCTGGGATGAAGAATCAGCAGAAGTGAGTGGCACCAGGGGATCCCACAGCACAAGCATGCCACCGTCCTGGTATTCCTGGCCTTTTGCCAGACATGAACCATGTGACATCTGACTCATCAACGTGTGCTGCCTCTGGATACCCGAGATCCTCAAAGACAAAGCCACCAGAGCCCACTGGAGGCTAGATGCCCTCTGGGCTCTTTCCTATGAACACTGGGCAGGCCCAGTGACCCTGGTGATGACCTGGTGGTACTGGTGTTGGAGGGCTCCAGATCCCCTGGCATCAAGCCAGGGATGTCTGTTAAAGAGACCCTCTTGTGGAATTGGAGCATCTCCCTCCTCCAGGAAGCCTTCCCAGTTCACTTAGCACTCCGTGGCCCCACCTCTGTGGAGCTGAGGACGCTTGCTGCCATTCTCCTTAAATGTCCTGCCTCACCTCGTAACCCTCTTGTTATTTGCTGTTGGCCTCTGAGGCGAGGAATTCAGCACCATGTTCAGAGCCCCTGGAGTCAGGGACTGTCCCTCCTGAGTCTTTCTGTGGGCATCATACGCTAACCAGCATAGAGTTAGTTCCCGTGGTTCACCCAGATTCACACCCAGGACTGGGTATGTAGTCAGGAGAGACTCGATATCATACACCATCCTTCTTTTAAATAAAAAGGTTTTGCCTACAGTCATCTGAAATGGTCCCAGTCTGCCCCTGGTCTCTCATGAATATAGTCACACCAGTGTCTGTGTCAGAAACAGTCCAGTCAGACCTGGCCAGATCACCTTGCTGCCATTTGCCAGCTGATGGACCCTGGACACACTCTCCCAGTCCTCTCTGCCTGTTTCCTCATCCGTCACATCGGGAAGCCACTGTGGCTAGCGGTTGGGTGCCTGTGAGGTTGTAAGGAGAGCACCTGGAGACAGCACTTGGCAGGCAGCTCTCCTTCCAGTTCCTGCTTGTGACTCGCGCAGGCGCAAAACTTTGCTTTAAAAATGTGTCTTGTGAAGAGACTTGGCATCCAGGACGCGCCCTGTGAGGAATTTGTTTTTGTTTTAATGCTGAGGACGTTTGCATGAAAACAGGATCTTCGTTGCTTAGGAATTGATCAGCTCCTGCTGCTGCTGCTTTCCCTGCTATAAAGTGCCAGCCCCATATTTGTCACAAGCAAAGGAGAAACTGTAGGGCTGATGTGGGACTGTGGCTGCTCAGGGAGGGTCCCAGTCTGCGAAGGCTAGAGGCAGGCGTCAGTGACGAGCCATGACAGGTAGAAAGTGCACAGGGACAGAGGACCACCACAACAGGGAAGATTTTTTATGGGTCTAGTTGGTTCTCGATGCTCAGGGGGGAGACAAGAAAGAGGCAAGACATTTAAGACATGGTCTCCACCTGCAAGAGCTCAAGGGCCCTCTGGACAGACGGGAGGCCAGCACTCAAGAAGATACAGTGACTACATACATCTAACACAAACCATAGATGTGAATGACAGGAACCAGCACCTGCAACAGAGAGGTTGGTCATGAGAAGCTGGATGCACTTGGGACCTGCTCCTTACCCTGCCAGGTGACCTTGACCATGTTGCCTGACCTCTCTGCACCTCTGTTTCCTCTCCAGAAAGCTAACACTCATCTTGCAGGCCCATTATGAAGGTGTGTGGCATGCTGTATGCTAAATGATTGGCACAGAGTGAGCGCTGCATCTATCCAAACTGTTATTCTTAGTATTCATAACACTAGATGCTCACCATCCTAAGGAATAGATATCCAGATGGCCACAGAAAGCTTTTCAGAGGAAGGACTTGAACTTGATTTGAAAAGAGGAGAAAAGATGACCAGAGACCTTAATAAAGAGTGTTTGTCTGAAATCTGAGCAGCCATGCCAGGACCCACCTGTGCCCATTGCAGACAACTGTTTAAGGAAGTTTTCAAGACACTATCCCAGAAACCAAACTAAAATTGTCCACATGAAATTGGAGGAGGGTTTCCAGGGGTCCTGCTCCACAGAGACTCTGGCCCATCTGTGGTCCCAGCCTGGTCCCACAGGCACCTGCATAGAAAGGTAGGAGAGGAGATGATCTTAGAGCGAGCACTCGGCTGTACAGGTCTTCCCCTGCCTCTGGGCTTGTCTTCCAGAAGGCAGTGAAGGGTGTTCACATCCAAGTACCCACGGGAGGCCAGACACCTTCCTCTCTGTGCCCTTGCAAGCTAATCAAAGCCAAGAGCCTGTAGGAAGTGCCTGCTTGGCAAAAGCTCTGTTCCCTTGCCTCAGCTGGCCTGCCCACCCTCCCTGGCTTCCCCTCCCATCTGCCTATCGAAGGACAGGGCGTCCATAAATCCAGCTTTCGGGCCCCTCAGGGGCTGGCGAGGCTGCCGTGGACCTCCGTCACATGGCAATGGAAAACAATTGAAAACCACTTGGCAAAAAGAAGGGGTGATCTAATGTTTTAGAGCAAGAATACATTTTTCCTCGCCATTCTTATTTGAGCCCTGGGGGGAAAGCCGGCTGCCGTCCAAGCCCTGTCAGGTGGGTCCCCCAGGGTCCCTCGCTCCTCTGCATTTGGGAGAACGCTGCAGAGGAGTCCAGGCTGGGGCCGGCTCTGGAGGAGCAGGGCTGGCCTTACCTTCCTGATTCGCCTGAGGCCCCTTGGAGCGAGGATGTGGCACATGGGCCTGCGGAGAAGCCCATATATAGAGCCAAGGGAATGTGGGCCTCTGGCAGGCGGCCTGGAATAAATGGCCGTGTTCTGAGGGCGAACGCCGCCGAATTATAAATAGCACCCGCCTCCCTCCCCTTCCAACTTGCTGTGTCTGTCACTGGAGGGTTGACAGTTAAATTCAAGGGGACTGAGCAGGACAAGGAGGCGGGGAGTGGGGGGAGGGAGATGCTGGCCTGTGGGTTAGACAAGGGGAACTGTCGCCAGGCGGTGGGGCTGGGGAGGGGGCGCCTTGGGAGTAGCAGAGTGGCTACTGAGTCAATACATTTTTATAAGCTGCACAAGCATGGAAGGAAAGCCAGAGGAAACCCAGCTCCTGAGATGGCTTCAGGGCCGGCTGTGGCTCAGTGACAGAGCGCTTGCCTAGCACGCGTGAGGCACTGGGTTCCATCCTCAGCACCACATAAAAATAAACAAAATAAAGGCATGCTGTCCATCTACAACTGCAAAAGTAAAATAAAAAGAGATGGCTTCAGAGACACTCTGGAGCCTGAATAATAATAATAATAATATAATAATAATAATAATAATAATAGAAGAAATCAGCTCCAAGGAGCATGAGAGGTTTCTCTCTGGTTCGGAAAGGTCAGCCACTCTGGTTTCCACATCAAAACCTACAGCCAGGTGCCCACAAAGACCTGTCCCCACAGCCTTATGCCATTGTTTCTTCATGTGTTTTTGTGTCTCTGTGACACAGGGGAAGCAGGGACACTTTCTCCTCCAAACCCTCTGTGTGTTTTGCTTCTGAATTCAGAAGGTTTTAGAAAATAAAGAAGGAGCGCGCAGGTCTGGCTGTAGAAACCACCCAGCCGCCCACACCTGGGTAACGGAGATGGGAGGGAGATGACCCAGCCACTCTGAGGTCTGGAGGAGGGGCAGCTGCTTCAGTTGAGACCACAGGTCCTTGACTGTGTCCTTGACCCTGCTGGTGCTCCTGGGAACCAGCCGCCAGCTTCCCTGATTTGCTGCCTGGCCCTGTCTGGGTAGAAACTAGAGTTTGACTGGGCCATGTGACGGGACAGAGGAACTGGGGGGCTTCCAAGAGCTGGGACAGCCTCCCTGGCTGACTCTGCCTCCTCCTCTGGGCTCAGGCAGAGTGGCTGACAGTTGCTTATGTCCTTTTGTTTCAGCTGTGGTTCGTTTGCTTGGCAAGGATTTGGAAGTAGGTCAAAGCACTCCCTCTTCCTTTCCTGCCCTCAGAATTCTCATTTCTTACATCCACTGGAGCAACATTGGGAATGAAACATTTAAAAAAAAAAAATAGGGAGGAGCAGGCAATTTTTCATTATCGTTTGGACTCTCGAAAGAAGATCCAGGGCTGGGGTGTAGCTCAGTGGAAGAGTGCTTGCCTGGTGTGCTCCAGAGGCCCTGGGTTCCATCCCCAGCGCCACACAGAAAGAAATCCCAGGGGCCCACAGTTGCAGTGGCGAGGTGTGTGCGGGTGCACAGTGGAACCTGGCAGTGTTAGCCTTGGAGGGACCATTGGTCTTACAACCAAGGGTCCTAAAACCGTGCTTCAAGGAGCCCGCTGGAGGGGGGTGTTTGAGAGGCCAGAGCAGAAATGCCAAACAAAGAAGTTGTACACTTGCTTTAAAAAAAAAAAAAAATGGATTCCATGCCTTTAGAAAGCTTGGAAACCAATTAGCTCGCTCCATCATGTTAGTGCTAAGTAAATGAAAGCCCCGCAAGTAAAAAGGCTTCTTTCTAGGCCCAGACATGCACTAGGCTGCCATGACTGTGGCTCTTGTTTGGGGGAGGGGACCCCCAGAGAACCTTAAAGAGCACCTTCTCAGCTTGTATCCTTCAGTGACTGAGGTCAAGAAAGGCAATGGGATTTGTTCAAGGACTCGTCAGGGGCAGACCCGGGGTTGGAAGCCATCTCAGGTGTCCATACAAAGAGGCCCGATATGCCTGTAGGACCCCAAATGGCAGGATTTGCCCAGGGGAGACAGCTTCCCAGAGGAAGTGGTACTGAACGGAGCTAAGAAGATGACCATGACCAGTGACAAGACAGTGATGAGGGGCAAGGAGAGGACCTAGTGCTTCAACCCTTCCCTCCTGGGAACGTGGCAGCTCTGGGAACAGACTGTTCCCATCTGTCTCTGCATTGGCTGCTAGCCTAGGCAACGTGGAACATGAGTGGCGTCACCACCTGCCAGGTGAGGCCCGGCCGGGCTCTCGGCGAAGTGCTCCGGCAGACACCAAGCCTGGCATCTGAGCAGGCTGCTCGCACACAGGCGTTTCCGGAGCCAGGCAGGCGGTGCTCGGGAGGGCGGGCTGGAAGGCTTGCTGCAGCAAGACTTGAATACATAATGTGCCTCATCCAATTTGAGCTGTGACAAAGTCCAGACAGCCTCCTCTAGACAGGAAAGGACGTTGAAGGGACAGGTGGTACGTTTTCTGTGAAGTCCCCCGTGGATTCCTGAGGGAGAGCATTAGCTACCCTCTGTTCCATGAATACAGGCTGTGCCCAATTGGGGTGCCGGTCTTGTTCCTGGCGTTTGAATGTAGCTTGTTTTCCTCACCCAAGACCAAAGAAGGACATGGATAAAGATGCTCAGAAACGTGGAGCTTGATCATCATGTCTCGGATGCACTTTAGAAATAAACATTTTGTATGACACAGTGTCCAAGGAGAAGGAGCCCTGTTCTCACACTCTGCTCTCTCATACCTGCGAAAACCCAGCCTCTGCTCGTGCCCTCAGAGACCATCTCGTCTAACCCGGGGTGCAACCTAGTCTTCAGTTTCATGAACCCCACAGCCTCAGGGTGAGTCCAGGCCAGCCAAGGAGAGCAAGCACTGTGGCCTACCAATCCTGAACTTGAGCAGAGAGACTCCCCAGTTGTCCCCATTTCCTGCTGTCCATTTGAAGGGGTGGATTCCTGCATGAAAAATCTCACTTTGCATTTGTGAGGGTCACAGTCTCCATCCTAAAATGAGAACCCAGGTCTTGTTGGGGTGCGAAGAGGCCAGCTTCCCACTTCAACTCTCTCCTTCCCGGAACTTCTCAAAGTGCGATCAGAGTTCTGTAAGAATCTCTGTGATGAAGGGGGTTCCGTTGTCACCTCAGTTTGGAAAATGTCACACACTGGTGCACCCTGCACTTTAGTCTCTGCCCAGATATCAACACCTTTGAATGGTCTTACCAAGCTGTTAAAGCCACTGTTGCCACCTCTATCCCTTCAAAGTGCTCTGCCCTCCAGAGTGCTTTTGCATCCGGGTCCTGTATTTAGCTATTTACTCTTGTATTACCTGCTTTTCCCACAGTAATGATGTTCCACGCTGTAGGAACCTTGTCTGTTTTGTTCACTAGGCTCCCTAGAATACCGTCTGGTTTAATAAAACACTGTGTCAAATAAGCACACGAATCAATTCATACACACAAACTCTCAGGATTCCTCCATATATAATTCTGTTCAGCTTTGTTTAACTCAGCAATTTTTTCAGCCTTTTCCCATTTTCTTTCCTGTCTGGTGCATCTCATCACCCAGTCCCAGGTCAGATCTGGCACCGGGAGGCCAGGCTTGACCACCCTTCGGAGACCTGCTCTTTCTCCACACCAGGTTTCCTTTCCTCCCCAGCACTAAGACCAACAGAGATAAGCCTGTGTATTTTCCAGTTCTCCTAGTCCATTGGCCATTACTACAACTGAATCTCACAGACTGGGTAATTTATAGAGACTATAGGTTTGTGTAGCTCATGATCTGAAACTGGAAGTCCAAGGGCACGGAAGCCTAAGGTCCCTGGCGAGGGTCTTCTTGCTGCCTCATAACACGGCTGCGGGCATGAGACAGAGCAAGCTGCTAACTGCTAACTCAAGTCTCTCTCTTCTTATAAGGCCACTAATGCCATCATAGGACCCCTTCCTCATGACTTCATTAATGGCAGTTACCTCCCAAAGGACCTACCTCCAAATGCTTTTAGCATATGGGTTCAGGAATTAAGTTCCTAACACATGAACTTTGGAAAGATGCATTGAGACCACAGCAATTGTTGCAAGTCCCGAGACCCGAGCTCCCTGAGGGCAAAGCACTGGTGGGTCAGTTCCCATGGATTCTGGGGGCCAGAGGCCAACACTGCATTATCAGGCAAACAATAATTTGCTCCCTTTTCTGATTAACTCTCCTCAACAGCCCTGAGTACTTAAGTCCCACCAGACATGTTCTGGAATATGCTGTTTTCTGTCAACACTTACGGGACAGTGACTTCTCCCCCTCTTCCATCAGAACTGGGAAGGGCTGTAGAGACTGCCTATCCCTGAGCTCTTGTTTTTCAGGGCTCAAAGAGGATATTGGCACCAGTGCTTCTCCACATCACCCATTTCCGTCTGGCTCTCTTGTATGGGTTTCCTGGGGCCAATGACCACACACCTGGTGATGTGAAATAACGCAACTAGTTCTGTAGTTTAGAAATCTGCATTGGGTCTTGCTGAGCTTAAGTCAGGATGTGGTCTGGGCGGTTCCTTCTGCAGGCTCTAGGAGATGATCCGTTTTCTTGATTTTTCCGTCTTTGAGAGGCAGCTCGTTTTCCTTGACTGACAGCTCCTTCCCTTTCCAAAGCCAGAAATGGCCACTTGCGCCTTACTCAAGCCTAATTGGTCCAGTGTTGACTCCCCTGCCTCGTTCTTTCACTTATAAGGACCTTTGTGATCATGCTGAGGCCACTGGATAAGCCAGGATAATCTCCCCACCTCAAGAGCTTTCGCCTAATCGCATCTGCGGACTCCCTTCTGTAAAGGAACTTATCACGGGTCCTGGGGACTAGGACTGGGACATTTGTAAGGCAGAGGGCACTATTCTCTCTGCCACACCTGCCATCATGCTGTCTCCACTACATCCTCAGGCCAACACGGTCTCCCCTGTGACCCCAGGGCCTCCTGTACCTCACTGCCATGGTACTTGTCACCTAACTTTATATCTGGCTCATAGTCTGGCCCAGCTGGGCCATGGTTTCCTCGTGGCCAGGGCTTGGTCCTCTTTGGGCCCAACCATCAGCACATTCTGGCA